TAAATTATTTGAAAATTTGAAAAAAGTCCTTCAATTTTTATTAAATTATTTTCCCAAAGAATCTTATATTAATTTTTTAATATAAGCTACTCTAACATAATCCAAGCCTTAAATAACTTATTATTAATTTTTTAATATCCTTAATCCTTGTCGTCTTCTAATTTAAATAAACCATATTATAAAAATATATATATATATTAATATAACAAAGATTAATTAATGTTGTTACGTTTATACCAAACAAGAATTAACGAGCATACCATTACGAGACTATTATACTATATATCTATATCTATATATATATATATATATAGAATATTAAATAATCATGCACATAACTTCCAAAAAATTTATTAAGGGCATGTTTGTTTTCTAAAGAAATGAAAATTGAGACTTTTAATTTAAAGTTTTTTCCTTTTAATTAATGTCATGAAAATAATTTCAGATTTTGACGGGTCATTATTATAATTTCTACTATTTTTTTACTCATAATTTTCAATTAATACTATATAGATAATTACATATACCCAAAAATATATATATATATATATATATATAAATATACTTGTTGATGGCTCCATCTAAATCGTGAAAACTATGTACTAATTAGTTTTATCTATAAAGTTTAAACAAAATTCCAAAACTAATAATAAAATAAATTAAAGTTTATCGTATTCTATTTTTTAAAATATAATATAATATATGTTAGTCTCGTAACAGATAATAACTCAATTAGTATCTGTTGACTTTTAATTATGCAATTTTTATTTCGCTTTTATAATACATAATATTCGAAGATAAGTACTTTTTCGAATAATATCAAAATTTTCTTCTCTAATTTTTTTAATACATAATATCCCTTTTTGGGTTTTTTTTTCTTTTTCAAATTTTCTTTTTAATTAATTTCTTAAGACTAATTATTTTTGCCTTTTCTAAAAAAAAATATATATATATATATATATATAAAGTATGGATAAGGAAATGTGTAGAATCTATAACATGTTGCTTCCAAAAAAGGTAAAAAGATTCAAATTCCATTGACAAAAGTATTAATTTTTTTTTTTGTTGGGGTTTGAATTCAAATATGTATATTTGATTTGGTGTTGCTTACAATTGACTACACCATTATCAACCATGAAAAAAGAAAAGAAGAATAAATGAAGAAAAGAAATATTTGATTCCTTAAGTAAAAATATCTTCCTCCCTTTCTAGGAAAATAAAATAAATTTTCTTATATATATATATATATATATGTGTGTGAATGTATACAAACACACTAGATAAAAATCATAAGATAATGATATTCTCGTGTTTAGAAATTTAAATTGCATAAATAAATGTTTGTATATTTTTATAACAATCGATCATGTGTTAAAAAAATTTACATGATTTGAGTTCGGATATAATTCAGTTACTGATATATATATATATATATATATATATATAAACACCTTTTATTCTATTTTTGAATTTTTAAAATGATCTTGGTTCACTTAGTCTTAGTTACGATTCCAATAGAAGTATGTAGCTCTAGTAATTTTGAGAATAATTAATCATAAATTAAGAAAACTTCATGAATGTGTGTACATATATATATTTATGTAACTCATAATATTTAGTTAAATTATATGGATACCATAAATGTAGGCTTTATGGGAATGCATAACTTTTCAATTTTGAGAAAATGGTGTACAAGGGAAATAAATTTGATTAAGAAATCTTTGAATATGATTGATTTGCATAAGAAAGGAAGAAAGGGATTTAAGTGTATTTGCCAATTGAAAGTGTTATATACATATATATATATATGTGTATATGTATTAAACAATAAATATAGATGAAGAGATTCAAAAATTGGGTCCAAACTCCAAAGAGGGATAGTATTAGTGGATCAAAAATGATGAAAGATCAAGAAAATGTTATGATTATATCAACTAAGTATAGATTATAATATGAAATTTGATTATGGTGGCAATAAGGGTATAACAAATTTAAACTAGAATGGCATATATATTATGATTTAAACTAAAATTTTATATGGTAAGATCCAAAATTAGATTATGGTGATACAAAGTTCTAGAGTGGTTCATTCTTACCCATTTGTC